GAACCTAAGGCAGGAACCTGGGGGCAGAAATTGAAGTAGAAGTCAGGGAAGAGAATTAGTTAAGCTTTCTATTGCTGTGAAGAAATACCATGAACAAGAATACCTGTTTATGCAAGCACCTAGGAATTATATCCTGGAGAAGACTTGTACAAGTTCCAAAGAAAAGACAATACTATAAAGTGAAAGCCAAATTGATTTTTAACTAAATGAAGGCAACTGCATATATTTATGGTTATTGATTGTTACATGAGTTTATTCACAACTGGCCAAAGAAGACATGTTAGTTTGTCTTGGAAATGACTTTAAACATATATTTCTTCCTGTTTGTTGTTTGGAAGATCCATTTCCTGTCCTACACTACAATATGTATATTCTAAAGGCTTAAACCTTTGCTTAAATTATACTTGAAGTTCCCCCAGTTCTCCTTTATTCCTGTTTCTTACTCCTCATTGCATCCCATCTGTACTGGTCTGGAGGTAGTAATGATTTTATCTAAATCAACAACTGTTGATAGACACATTTTGAACATGGTGGTTGAGTGTTCACATTTTACTCTTTAATACTGTAGCTTGTGCAGTTTTAAAAGTCAATAAATATATCCAGTGAATAGTTGTTATAAGAATTTACAGATTAACATTATTCTCAAAATTTTCATTTTGTTTTACTTCAGACCATTTTTTTTTTAAATTTAGTCTTTGACAATTCAGTGCTTGTTTATAAGGTATTTCAATTACATCCAATCCAAATCTCCCCTGCTACTTCCCTAAGATCCCTACAATACCCCCCCATCTTTGCCTTTTCTGTTTTGTTGCTTATAAGCCATTGATTTTATTTTAGTTAGCACTGCCTACATGCACATGCATGTGGGACCATCCACTGGTGCATAGGCAACATACAAGTGGACAGAGTATGATGACTCATGACCAAAGAATGATGACTCCTTCTCCCTCAGAAACCATCGATTGCCAATAGCTCCTCAGGTATTGGTGAAGCCTCATGAGCTCCTTCATGCTGGAATGTTGACTGGATTGATCTTATGTAGGTCTCACACAGGTAACCATAGTAGCTGTCAGTTCATCAGTAAGGGTTTTCCTTACTGTTACATCTAGAAGTCAGCATTTCACATCACTTTTCTTCATCTTCTGGCTCTTACATTCTGTCTAGCCTTCCTCCATGCTCCCTGGGCCTTGGAGTGGGGGATTAATATAGGTGTCCCATTTAGGGATGAGAATTCACAATCACTTATTCTCAGTACTTTGACTAGTTATGAGTCTTTAAATTGACTACTGTGCACTGCAAACAAAAGCTTCTCCAACCAAGGTTGAGAACAGCAATAATCTACGGTCATAAACATAAATATGTATTATGAAGGCAGCATGATAACAAGTCAGTTTAGCAAAACAACAGTAGTAAGTTCCCCCTAGGGCCTATGGCCTCCCAAATTACAAGCTTTTGACCAGGTTTACAGTACCAGGCATGAACTTCTTTGGATCAAGCCTCAAATCAAATGAAAAAGCAGATACTTATTTCCATAGCAGTCATGCTACAATTGCTCCAGTAGGCATGGCTTGCCTGGTACATCAGTCACAGTCACAATTTCTGATGTGATTACCCCTCCTTCAAATTTTCCATCATCCGTTGCTGTTCTGGATAATAAAATTTAGAGACTACAGGAGATTTTCGATCTATGCGCCTATCTGTCTGTCTAGTTTATCTATCTATCTATCTATCTATCTATCTATCTATCTATCTATCTATCTATCTATCTATCTATCTATCCATGCAGTCTCTGTGTGTTTGTGTGAGTATGCACGTGTACTTACATAAGTGCATGCAAAGGTCAATGCTGGGTGTCCTTCTCTATTTTTTCCCCACCTTCTTTTTTTGAGACAAAGTCTCTCTCTGAACCTGGATGTCTTAGTCACTCTTCTATTGCTGTGAAGAGACACCATGATTAAGGCAACTCTTACGAAAGAAAGCATTTAATTGGGGGCTTGATTATCTTCAGAGGGTTAGTCCATTATTATTATGGTGGGAAACACTGCAGCATATAGACAGGCACTGGAGCAGAAGCTGAGAGCTACATTCGTATCTGTAGGGAGAGAGAGAGAGACGGAGGGAGGGAGGGAGGGAGGGAGAGAGAGAGAGAGAGAGAGAGAGAGAGAGAGAGAGAGAGAGAGACTGGGCCTGGCACAGACTTTTTGAAACCTCAAAGCTCACCCCCAGTGACACATTTCCTCCATCAAGGCCACACTTACTAATTTTTTCAGAGTTCCCCTCCCTGGTGACTAAGCATTCAAATACAACAGCCTATGAGGACCATTCTTAATCAAACCACCACACTGGAGATTGCTGTTTCCTGGAGACTTGCTGGCACATCTGCCTGTCTACCTGTCTCCATCTGCACTGCTCCCCAAGCCCTAATACTCCAGATGTGTGCTGCTGTGCCCAGCTTTTACCTGGGTGCTGGGGATCTAAACTCCAGTGCCCATGGTTTTGCCATAAATACTTTACCAACCAAGCTACCTCCTCAGCCCTATTTCCTGTGTCTATTTTCTACAATTCAGAACCTGTCCTGCTTTCTGTTGCTGTGATAAAACATTCTTCCCAAAAGCAAGCCAGGGAGGAAAGGGTTTACTTGGCTTACACTGCCACATCACAGTCCATCACTGAAGGAAGTCAGGACAGGAACTCAAGCAGGGCAGGAACCTGGAGGCAGGAGCTGATGTAGAGGTCATGGAGGAGTGCTGCTTACTGTCTTACTCAGCCTGCTTTCTTATAGAACCCAGGACCACCAGCCCAGGGATGGCACCACCAAAATGAGGTGGGCCCTCTTCCATCAATCACTAATTAAGAAAATGCCTTACAGCTGCCTCTTACAGACCCATTTTCTCAATGGAGGGCCCCTCCTTTCAGATGATTCTAGCTTGTGTCCAATTAACATAAAACTACCCCGGACAATGCATGAGGAAAACCAGAGCTGCAGTCTTATGGTTTGGGCCTGAAGGGCTCATATGCTGAAGGCTTGGCCCACAATGCTTCAAAGTTTGGAGATGGGAATTTCAGAAAACGATTTGATCATGAAGGCTCCGACCTCAATGATAAGTTAAGCAAGTTAAATCATTGGTGTGTTTGCAATTTGTGGGCTGTAGGGAGATGATAAAAACTTAGTGTTATGATCTAGTTGAAGGACATTATATCTTGTCTCTGGACCCTGTCTGTCTATTTATCTCTGCTTTACTCTCTCTCTGCCTTTGTGTTTACTGGCTACCATTAAGTGAGCAACATTCATCTTCAGCCTTTCTGCCAGGATGTTCTACTATACCACACATCCCCCAGTGATGAAGCATGCTGATCATGGAGGGAAATTTCAGAAATCAGGAGACCAAACAAGTTTTTCCTCCTCGAATGTTATCACAGTGGTGCTTGATTTTGTAGTTTATTAATAGTATGTAGTGATATTCTACAATAAATCTTAAAACAAAAATTATTTTACGAGTTACTTAAAGATGGTCATAACAGTTCTGATAGAAAGTTTTATTTCAATATTAAGAAAAAATTTATCATGGGGGCTAAAGAGATGGCTCAGTGTTTAAGAATACTGCTCTCCAAGAGGACCCAGGTTTGATTCTCAGCACCCATGTGTGACTCAAGTTCAGGAATTTGGTACCTCTGGCCTCTGTGGGCACCTGTACTTATTTGCACATGCCCCCACACAGACACACATGCGTACACATAACTAAAAGTGATAACAGACAAATCTTTGAGGATTTTGAAGAGAGGTAACTCAGAGACCGACTTCTACCTTTTCCTGGTGACTTAACAGAAAGTGATGTGCGTATTCTCAGAACATCTGGTAAGAACAAGGAATAGTTTTCTTTTCAATATGTTTTAATTGGCAGTTTTATGAAGCTGGAAAATAACTATTTTAACTTTAAATTGTCTTTTCAGGGAAGCAATTTTATTCGTATTTACTCTAAATGCTTAGGTTAGTCTCCTGCCTTCAAAATAAAATTTCCTTATATGAGCTTGATAGAAAGTTTCCAAAATATGTATCATTTTTGTAAAACACAACCTCAGATGCCTTACTTTCTTACAAAATTTACCTATTGTCAACCCCCTGATTAATTTTCCTTGCTGTCATTTGACCCATAAAAGTTGTCATTAGTGAGGTTTTCACATATTTTCGTAACCTAGTGGTCCCTCCTTGTTTGTCTCTTTCTCCCACCTGGCCTGAATCTCATGTCTGATCGTTTAGTATGCTTCACAGGCTGCATCAGTCTGTCATTGTTGTAAAAACAGAGGCACTATTAAATATTTGAAATGTGGGGTTTAGTGGATAGAATTAGTGGCATGTGATAGTTAAGCTGAGAAGCGGAGAACGGTGAGGTGGTGATGTCACTCGCAACCTGCGTAGTTATCATCCGTGGTTGGAAGGCACTAGGTGTGGCTTTGGCATAGTTCCAAAGTCGGGGCCAACTGCGCCATATTGCACTTAGTTGAGCGCTTCTTGGCGGTGCTGGTTCATTGACCAGAGTGCATATGAGTAAAGCCCCAGACAGGACACACTTGCTTTCAAAGCTGAACAGGATGGGGGCGCAGGCTGGTAACAGCCCTGCTCTTATAAATGAATCCAGTCAGAAAACATAATAACCATGCCAATGAAGTTTCACAGAGGCACTTTAGTGCAGACCATCCAGAAAGAAAATGGTAAGGTGACAACCCAGGAAAGCATCCCGAAGCCCTGGGCTGGGGGAGCCCAGGGAAAAGGCAGAGAGTGCTGGAAATGTGAGGACAGATGGGGCAGAGCAGGATCCAGTCCTCTAGAGAGGAGTGATGCAGGGCTCCAGCCTCAGCTTCCGGAGCTGCAACCGGGATGGGAGAAAGTCCCAGCCAGGGGGTGCTCGTCTCGGAGCAGGTGTGCTGAGACTGTTTCTGGAACCACAGTCAAACCCTAGAGCTTAGAATCAATTTCTGTTGTGTAGATACAGAACATCACCATGACAACAGGGACACCAATGAAAGCAAAGAGGACAGAACTCACCTCTCCACCTCTCTGACCTCCAAGATTCACCTAGTGTGTCTTTATGGACAAAGACACTTGGTAAGGACACATGTAGCTTGTAGAGGAATGGCTTTATCATGACAGAGCAGAATAGTAAAGGGTGGTGTGAGTCTGAGGAATTATAGGTGACTTCTGTTACCCACATTTTACACTCTCCATCTCCCACTGACTAAACCTACTCAGAGCCAGAGTTCAGTTACCATGGGAGGAGCAGGAAGTAGCCTGAGACCAACAGGTGGATGACTAGCTTGTTAGTACTTTTTATTCTTTTAGGATTGCCTTGGATTCTTTACTGCTGTGGAACACCATGACCAAAAGTAACTTTGGGAGGACCGGGTTTGCTTTCCCTTTACTTTGGGTTATAGTTCACCACAGAGGGTAGTAAAGGCAGGAACTCAAGCAGGTCAGGAACCTGGAGGCAGGAGCTGATGCAGAGGCCATGGAGGAGTGTTGCTTACTGGCTTGCTCCTCATGGCTTGCTTACCCTGCTTTTTTTTTTTTTTTTTTTTTGGTTTTTTTCAAGACAGGGTTTCTCGGTAGTTTTGGTGCCTGTCCTGGACTAGCTCTGTAGACCAGGCTGGCCTTGAACTCACAGAGATCCACTTGCCTCTGCCTCCTGAGTGCTGGGATTACAGGCATGCACCACCACCACCCGGCCCTGCTTTCTTATAGAACCCAGGACCATCAGCTCAAGGGGTATACCCACCTATAGTCAGCTGGTCCCTGTGGTGATATTGTGTTCCCCTAAATATTGTGCACCCTAATGAAGTTATCTGAGGTCAGAGAACAGAACAGCCACGAGATATAGAGGCCAGAAAATAATGGCACACACACCTTTAGTCCTAGCATTCCGAAGGCAGAGATCCATCTGAATCTCTGTGAGTTCAAAGCCACACTGGAAACAGCCAGGCATGGTGACACATGCCTTTAATCCCAGGAAGTGATGGCAGGATGCAGAAAGGTATAGAAGGTGTGAAGATCAGGAGCTAGAGCTGGTTAAGCTTTTAGGCTTTTTAGCAGCAGTTCAGCTGAGATCCATTTGGATGAGGACAGAGGCTTCCAGTTTGAGGAAACAGGATTGGCTGAGAAGTTGGCGAAGTGAGGTTAGCTGTGGCCTGTTCTGTCTCTCTGATCTTTCAGCATTTGCTCCAATACCTGGCTCCAGTTTTTTTTTTTTATTTTTTTTATTTTTATTTTTTTTTATTAATAAGACCTTCTAACAATTCGTGCTACAGGTCCCTCCTTTATCAATCAAATATTACAAGAATGCTCTATAGGCTTGCCTGCCTACAGTCCAATCTTATTGAGGCATTTTCTCGTTTGGGGTTCCCTTTTCTTAGATGACTAGTTTCTGGCAAGATGACATAAAACTAGCCGGCACAATGATATTTTCTCCTGCTTGGATAATTAAAGTCCTACATATATATATTAATATATATATATTAAAGATGCAGTCCAACTTCTAACCTATTATCCAAATGTTGGCAAACTGTGGTCTAACCAAGCTCATTGATTTTAACATATTTGTATACTTGAAAAATTCAAAAGAAGACTAATGATACAGAAAAATGTATCTATGAAATTATATTTTTCAGTGTCCATAAACAAAGCTTTAATGGCGCATTGTCATGTTTAATAGTGACATATTGTCTCTAGTTGTTTCTGCATTACAACAGTGGAGTTGACTAGTTGTCACAGAGACCTCAGGACAACCCGGCCTCCAGTAATTACTATCTGGCTCATTACAGCCCACCTTTTCTTTGAACTCACGAGGCTCAGCTCTGCTGGTAGAAACGCTGCCATGTTGGTTAATGTGTCACAGGGCCACCTTCTCCTTTCACTTGCTCTTGCTCTGTTCCCTTTTTCCGTTCACTTAAAATCTACTGCCGATGTCACCAGCTCCCTCAGGTGTCAGCATCCTTACTGCACCCCAAACTAGGGATGATGCTTCACCATTCCACTGAGAGTATTTTAAGGGTGTAGATCTCACACATGTGTTCACCATCATCTGCTCTCAGGTATTCGCTCTGCAATCCCCTTTCTATAGACATTGTAAATGGATCTGTAATTATGAAATCTAGCCACCTAGACTCAGACTACCTCCCAGTATTTACTAACACTGTAACCATTAGCAGTTTCCCTTAACTTTTACTGAGCTCAGTGTTCACCTTTGTAAGAGTAACTGTTCATAAGACTGTTGTAAACATTGAATACAAGCAGACATGTAAGAACATAGCACAGTACTCCAAGTGTGTCTAATATAACTTAGCTGTTTCAAAAATATAATGAGCTTGGTGGTGGTGGCACAAACTTTTAATCCCAGCACTTGGAAGGCAGAGGCAGGTGAATGTCTGTGAGTTCGAGGCCAGCCTGGTCTACAGAGTGAGATATAGGACAGGCACCAGCAGTACACAGAGAAACCCTGTCTCAAAAAACCAAGAGAATATATATACATAATGAAAATTTAACAACCATAACTCTAGCTTTCAAAAGCCAAGGCTCCTTTCATCTAAAATAAGAAAACAGTAGTCTCCATGACCCTGTGCCTCTCCTTGGAGACTCTTTCCTATTCCACTTTCCCTCCCTTCTCAATTTGTCTGTTCTCCGTGTCTCACGGTTTCACTCTTTTAATTGTTCCCTCTTTAATGCATTTCGTTTGCATCTCACCTTTAATCTTCTGACAATTCTCTCTGAAAGGTCATCAGTGGTGTCTCAATTCCCACATTCTGCCATGTTTTCCGGTGTTTGTGTTCTATAATCTCTCTATGATATTCAGTGTTAATCACTGGTCCTTGAAACTTCCCAGCCCTGGACTGTAAAAACACTACCTCCTCCTGATTTCTCAGCTTCCTGTCTCCTTCCAGGGAGTTCCTTTATCTGTCCCTGTTTTAGGTCCTGTCACACTACACATATCCCACCATGTGTCGTGTGGTGGTTTTCTTCAGTTCCATGGTTTTAAATTGATATACATATAGTCATAAACCTGATATTACTGTGGGGTGTCCTTCTGTATGCTGCAAATATGTGTTGCTTTTATTGGTTGATGAATAAAGCTGCTTTGGCCTATGGCAAGACAGAGTATAGCTAAGTGGGAAAGCCAAACTGAATACAGGGAGAAAGAAGGGCGGAGTTGAGCAGACACCATCCAGCCAACCAAGGAGCAAGATGCCAGCAGACCGGTATTGCCACGACCATGTGGCAATACATAGATTAATAGAAATGGGTTAATTTAAGTTGTAAGAGCTACTTAATAATGAGTCTGAGCAATAGGCTCATTTATATGTAGTATTAAGCTTCTGAGTGATTATTTACAAGTGGCCATGGGACAAGGTAGGACAAAACAGCCTCCGTTTACAAATTACAACCTATCCACAGGCCAAAACTGTGCAGCAAAGTGTCCAGTGTTTATTCATATGGGCATAATTGCCATTTAAAAATCAATATATCCAAACGCGCTCATCATTTTATCAGCCTGCCTCCTCCTCATTACTTTTTGATGAAATCATGGGCCAACCAACCAGATTGCTGTGAGTCATTCTTGAATCTCCTTTTTCCTATACTTCAAACTCAATGAATCTCCAACTCTGGTGAATTCCCATTCTAAGATGCCACATTTTCTGGCACATGGGCCCCTTCACTAAGCCTTTTCTCTGCTCTGGTTTACCTTTGACCACCCCTAAGGCTCTAAGTAAGGTCCTCTCTGCTTACAGTTGACTCCTTCTTAACCCTGGGCCACAGCAGAAAGCCTGTGTGGAGTTTAATTACGCATCCCTCCTGCTTAGACCTCTCACAGGCTACTCCTTCATCAACTACCCATGAAACTAAGCTTCTTTGAATGCCATATAGCACTCTGTATGTGGGGGCTTTATTCCTTTCTAGTTAGTACTACACCCTGCTACTCCGTGGGCATGTTTCATCTCTTCACATCACTGTGCTCAGAAGTATTACCCTTTGTCCTCTCTGAGTTCTGTAGGTGTTGTTTTCTCAGATGATAGCATCTTTCCTCTACCTTTTCTCTACCTAGCCAAGGGCAAGAGCCTTGGTCACCATTCCATTACTGTGAAGAGGTATCATGACCACAGCAACTCTTATAAAGGAAAGAATTTAATGGGGGCTGAGCTTGCTTACTGTTTCTGAGACTTACTCCATTAATCATGGCAGGGAACTTGGTGGTGAGCAGGCAAGGTGCTTGAGAAGTAGCTAAGAGCTACATCTTGATCCATAGGCCAAGAGAGGTACTGTATCTAGATTGGGTTTTTAAAATCCAAAGCCTGCCTCCAATGACAAATTTCCTCCCAAGGTCACATCTCATAATCCTCCCTATCTTTCTCTACTAATGCTAGTTCCTGATGACTTAGCCTTCAAATATATGAGCCTATGGGTCGCTATGGGGGCCATTCTTTTTCAAACCACTATATCCTTTTCTAACAGGTCTCCCCCTGTCTAAGCTTCCAGTTTCTCTTTTTATTTTCTGCTTTGACCATTGTGATTTTGATTGCACTATAATTATGTAGCATAGTATATGAATAAGAGTTGGCATTTATCTTTTTATTAATCATGGAAAGAATTATCCAATCATTTATTTAAGATCTAATTGCTATTTTACAAACTAGAGAAATGATCTCTGAAAGTATAGTCTTCTAGGTACTATTTAAGTCTTTTTAAAATTATTATTATTGAAAATAAATTCTTCTCTCATACAATATATCCCAATCACTGTTCCCTCTGCCTTTATTCCTCCCAGCTCCCCCTCCCCACCTCCCTTCTCCCCCAGATCCATTCCCTCTCCATTTCCTCTTCAGAAAAGAGCAGGCCTCCAAGAAACGACAGCCAAACAGGACAAAACAAGATACAATAAGACAAGCTAAAAAACCCTCATATCAAGGCTGTACAAGGTACCCAATGGGGGAACAGAGTCCTGAGAGCAGGCAAAAGAGTCAGAGATTAACCCATTCCCACTCTTAGGAATCCCACAAAACCACCAAACTAACAGCCATAACGTATAGACAGAGGACCTGGTGCAGACCCGTGAAGGCCCC